GAACTTAAACTTAATGATTTATTTACTTATGCAAAAGATAATCGCTTATTATTGTACAAAGACTCATTGAAAAGTACAGGTACCCAGAAGCCGATCAAGGCTCAGGCACATACTTGAGATGGTCGAGAAATCATTTCCCAAATCAAGAAACCAAGAACATCATATTTACACATTTGAATAATTCAAGATCGGGAATCAGAACTACCAGATTCTAAAATCAAGAGTCAACACGACAGACAACCGGAGATCGAGATTTCTCTCCAGAGCCCAGAATAACATATGTTGTATACGCATTTTAGGCATGCCTAAGAATATTGCATCCATAACATCGCATATATGCATATCTTTGCAGGTTTTATCTAGATCCAATTTCAACTTCGCAGCGAAGGATATTGGACTCAAAACGACACAATTTGCTCGAGAATAGATTTCAACTTCACGACGAAGGATATCTGACTCGAAGCCAAACTTTACAACGAATGGGTCATCCACGGTTTCAACTTAACGACGAAGGGAATCGTATCCATCCGCAACATATAATACTTGGATTTCAACTTCACGATGAAAGATATTCAAGTCAAGGCTCAACTTCACGATGAAGGGGTCATCCACGATTTCAACTCCACAACGGAGGATATCGTACTCACACATCCATGATTTCAACTCCACGACGGATGATATCGTGCCATTTGAGGCTCAACTTCACGACGAAGGGGCTTCCCAATTTCAAAGCCAATTTCAACTTCACAGCGAAGGATATTGGACTCAAGACAACACAAGCTCAACTTCACAATAAAGAGGCGACTGATTGTCAACAAATAACTTTTCAGCTTCATTCAGAGTCAATTTCAACTTCACAACGAAGGATATTAGACTCGAGACAACACAAGCTCAACTTCACAACGAAGGGGCGGCTGGCTGTCAACAAATAATTTCCTAGTTCCAAAGCCAATTTCAACTTCACGGTGGAGGATATTTTACTCGGAGCAATACAACTTACTTGAATTTCAAATTCCAGGCTCAACTTCACGACGAAGGGGCCACCCGCAGTTTAAACTTCACAACGAAGGGAATCATGCACACAAGCAGCATCCATCTCTAGATTGGATTTTAACTTCATGACGAAGGATATCCAACTCAAAGAAGGAGTGTCTATCAATAAATTTCCAGTTCCAGAGTCAACTTCAACTTCACAGCGAAGGATATTGGCCTCGAAACAACGCAACTTACATTGGATCTCAACTTCACAACGAAGGATATCCAATTCCAAGGCTCAACTTCACGATGAAGGGGCACTATACGATTCCAATTTCACAAACATATTGACCCAACTTCACAACGAATGAGTCATCTGTGACACAACAACACCAAAGTCTTCAGGACAAGTTTCACCTTCACGATGAAGTATCTTGATCCAGAGGATGATCCAGGAGCTACTTGTCAAAGTTCTGAGTTCGATTTCAACTTCGCGACGAAGAATATCGTGCTCAGAAGCTTCCAGTCCAACTCGACCTCACGACAAGAAAGTCATTTCATTTTTCAGTTCAATTTGACAAACCAATTTCAATGTCGGATTTCAACTCTACATCAGAGGACATTCGATATGGACGAAATTTGTGTCTTTTAATCTTTGCTCTATTATCGTTACACGACAATGAGCAAAGAGGGGCAGCTGTAGACACTATATTTTGTCCCTACATAAATAATTATATATTACATAATTTATATGTTATATATATATATATATATATTATTTACATATCTTCCCTTCTTTTTATTATTTACACACCCGTTATACATAAATAAAACGGGCCAACAGTGGACCAAGCCTAGGAGCACACCAAGTCCAGTATAGCAGGCTACCATGTTAGGGTTTGAAACCCTAGCTTTCCATTCTCTCATCCCAGCCTCCAGTAGCGATGACCGTTAGATCTAGATGAGATCCAACGGTCTACAACAGACCCCACTTTAGGGTTCTAGCCTTTGCTCCACGGCGTCGTTCTCTCCTTCAACGAGGACTCTCCACGTTGCCCGAAACTTCCGCCGATTCCCTCGCCCCACGTAACCATGGTCCTCGGCAATGAACAACAAACAGTCAAGAGTCACTCAAGCACTCAAAAACCGAAGAAGTTGAGTCCAAATCGGACTCTAAAAATAGCCAAATCTGAGGCTATAAATCACATGTAAAATAGAACACAAAGGCACACAATATCAAATAGATTACCATGAGGTAAACACACATATAAACTCATAATAGAAAACACAAAAAAGGTCCAAGCACTTGTATATCATTTCGAAAAAGAGAATAAAAAGGTATATATATATCTGTTTTTTACCTCAGATCGTGGCTCGCATGCATGATGGTTTCCTTTCTTCTTCTTTTTCGTGTGTTGAAACGCCAATGACCCAAAGGAGGGGATTCGAAGTCTCAAACCCAAATCTACCCCCGAGGCTTGCACTTATTGAAAAAATATTTTTGGGTTTTTGAAGTGGGAATAAAAAGCTTTCGAGGTTTTGGAAAAAAATAAAAAATAATTTTTTTTCACCGTCGATGACGGCGGCCGCCGAGGTAGCAACGGTGGCCGAAATTTGGAATATACAGTGATGTTCATGTGTTCTTCAAGAATACATGAACACCCAGAGAGAAAACGAAGAGTAAGGGGGGCTTTTTGATTTTGAGAGAATAAATGATATTTAAAAAAAAGGTTTGGCTTTTATACACTGCACATACCCGGCCTGGCGACCCGCGTCTCGACCCGACCCAGTTTAGGGGTCTGTGTGTTTTTAATAAATTAGGGCAAATCACCCTTTTGGGCCCTCTATGATTTTTGAAGATCTTTTTCGACCCCAAATCATTCTAATTTAACTCCTACTTTTTGTCTTCTTTTAATTTGGCCCCTGATTTTCACTTTTATTTCAAATTAACCCCCTCTGTTATTACATGTATGTATATATTTTATATTTTATATTTTATATTCTATCTTATTTTCTTTTCTTTTTTACTCTTTATTTTTATTATTTTTTATTATTATATTTATTTTCATTATTTTGTTTCTCTATTATTATTAATTTTTTCTCATATTTAGTTATTATATATATATATATAGTATTATTATTATTATTATTATTATTATTATTATTATTATTATTATTATTATTATATATATGCATATTCTTTTCTTAATTTTATTTATTTAGTATATGCTATTATTTTACATTTTTTTTCTTTAACATTTGTATATTTGTGTGTATATATATATATATATGTTTTATTGAATTCTTATTATTATTTCTCTAGTATCTTGCTTATATGTTATTATATATTTTTATTTTGTTTTATTTATTTTTTTCTTTATTTTTTCGTTTTATTGTGTTTCTATTTTCTTATTTCTTTATTTCTTCATTTTTTTTTTATTTTTTTTCTGTTTTATCATATGTTTTCATGCTTGTCTTCATTTTTATTTCCTTCATGTTCTCTATCTCCATGTTGATTAAGTTATTTAATGTTTATCATTTATTTTGTCTATGTTCTTCATTTCATTTTCTTTATTTTTAATCTTAATTTATTTTCATCACCTTTTCTAATACATCTTTTGACTCTTAAAGGGTACATTTTCAAATCAATCTAAGGTAATTAATTTTGGATCGTTATTTTACCTTTTAAGTTAAACTTACAATTTTCTTACTTAATGACAACTGGAAATTACGTAGTACCGAAAGGGCAGTTCAAGGGTGTTAACTCTTCCTTGACTGTAACCGACTCCCGAATTCGACATATCACTAGTAATACGCAAATCAGGTAAGAAATAAGGTATCCGATCAGTCCATTTTTAATAAAATAAATGATCGGTGGCGATTCCTAATTCATTTTCCTAAGTCGAAGCCTAATTCCGGAGCCCAACCGAAAGACGGTTCCGACATCTTACATGATGTGACATATGAGCAACAAAAGATAAACATGTTTAACTTAATGAAAGAAATATTAACAATGGTAATGGTTGAATAAAAACTTTTAAATAAACAGTAGAAACTGTATATAATGTAAAACATTATTGTGTAAAAATGTTTCATTTGAATCCTTCGGACCACAATTGGAGACTACTTTGAAATGATCATCCAGCTCAGTTGGTAGAGTACAAGGTTTTTAATCTTGAGATTGTGGGATCGAGTCCTATGGAGGACATTTCATAATTTGAAAGTCTCCTACGCTCTCAACCTAGTGTTGGGGGCAGCCTACTATCTTACCTCCCCTTACCCCATTATATATGGGAACAAGGGACAGCCATTTTGAAAAGACCGTCGACTACTTCCGAATACAAAATACACCCCTTAAATTTGAACCATTTCATAAGTCTTGAATTCCAATTAAGTCCTTAAAGAATCTGAGATTGGCGCAATTAATGTGAAGAAGAACTTGCTTTATTTGACTCTACCATTGTCCGTTTTCAAAGATACACGTGTCAGAAATTTAGAAAAAGTATTGACCAACCTATTCTTTACGTTAATTACCATTTTAAATTTCAACTACACTCCCCCAGGCCCCAAACTTAATGGATTTATTTCGTTTAAGGGATTACATTTAGTAATGTAAAATTATGGCTTAAACATGTCAAAACTTATTATACTATTTTAAACTTTAATCTCTATAATTTATTTTCATATGTGAGTTTTAGTCCTTCCCTTAACTTCTATTTAATTCTACCATTAATTTATGACCTGCTAGTTATAGAGAAGGCAAAACAATTTTTCTCGTCCTCATGTTTACAATTTTTACCAAACCGGCCCTTATAAAAAGGTTTCATACACTCTTAGTTTTACTTGTGAAATAAAAAATTCATTATTTTATAATAATCACAACCCCAATCTCAAATATTTTCTTTTATTAAGAATAAAGAAGAATATAACCAAGTCAATGTATCAGCGCGTAGACTTGTATTTTTTTTAACAGTTTGATGACTTTAAATTAAACTCCAACTGAACTGACTTTGTCAAATCCTCTGCCACAGACAACAATTTCCTTTGATCAACCCACCTCCTCCTCTCTCTGTATAAAATTGTAATCCTCTGATTCATCCAAAGCCAACAGCCTCTCATTAATGGCGTCCTCTAACGAAACCCAGAAATATTCTCACCTCATCACATCACTTGTCTTCTTCTCATCTATTTCGCTTTCTTCAGCTAGGCTTCTCAATGGTCATCCGTCAGCTACACGACCAACCTCCAACCTTGCCCTTCATGTTGCCTTCGACGGCTCCGACAAACCGGAGCTGGATCCTAAGTCGACAGCTCTCCCGTTTGAGCATATGGTTCTGAGGTCGCCGACTCAAAAACTGGCCGGAAAGTATGGGCCAATGTTTCTCGGCATGCTTCCCAAGGGCGGAAATGTGCCGTCGTCTGGACCTAGCAAAAGAAGCAATGACATCAAAACCTAGGTCAACCAAGGCAAATTAAATCCCATGTTTCTCCTTTTTTTTTTGTTCTTGAGTGTGTATAGAATTATTACAGAATATAGGATTTTATAAAACAATTTTTTATCCATATATATATATATATATATATATATATATATATATATATATATATATATAATTGTGATTTATATAACTGGAATCCAATAATTGAGGATTATTTAGGCTAACCAAAATAAATACAAATGAAGTACTTAATAATCGATATAGTCCAACACTTTCTTTTGTATATTTGTAATCAAGTTTCATCCGTTATGCATCTGAGTTTAATAGATTCCACTCTGATTAATTTCCCTGTTGGTTACATACTAAATTATTAATTTTTTTTATTAACGAGAGAAGTATTACATTTTTAAGATAAATACGAGAATTTGAATCAAGACATAATAACATAAGTATCATTGACGATTCTACTAATTAATAGATCTCATAGTTACATATTAAACTATTAATTGATTTTTATATAAAATGTGTAATTATATTTTATTAAAGAAATACCTAATATTGTGAAACTAACTTGAGATTAAACATGGATTAGATCGTTTAAAATTGCTTAACTTTATTTATCATATAGGGAAAATATCTTATACCAAAATTGATGAATTTGGTAGGATCATAGCATTTGAGATATATGAGCCACATGCCCAAAGGATCTAGGTTCGATTCTTCTTGAGCCTCATATTTAACTCATATTTAAATGCTTTGATACAATTAAATATGACACCTCAGATTCAACTTGACGTTATGATCAAATCATGAAGGTCATATCGATTAATGAAGTGATCCCTATTTAAATTATATAGTTTAAATATAGTATCTCAATAGACTTTTAGATAGTGCTGTAGGTTTTTATTAGCATTTCCTTTGATTAATGTGTTATGGATTCTAATATGTTCATTCACTTATGAATTTTCTTTTTTTGTTTAACATTATCTCTACGATATTATTTCAAACCCTTATATGCTTACTCGTGAATTGGATTAGGAATGTATGCACTTTTGTTTTGCTTGCATCTGATGGGATAATAATTGCCTTTCGTGGGTATGTAAAGTTCGTCAGAAGCATTTGGAGCATATGTTGCTCCAAATACGCAAGCAAACCAGCTAGGTTTACGAATCCTTACAGGGTTCTGTGCTCGGCTATCGTGTTACCCCACTTTTTTCATGCTACTACGATGGACTAGTATTTTCAGAGCCTTGAGGGAAGCTACCAAATAAGAGGTGATATAACAGTCACAGCGTGTTAAAATCTGCATCCTTTTAGTAATAATCTGATGTTATATTAATGACGTGGATTATGTTTTCATCTGATGTTTTTAGTAATTGTCCTTGCAATACCTAGACCGTGTATCATCGCTCAAAACATTCAATTTAACAAATAAATTCCACTTTCATTCTATTTGATGCCTACACAACATCTAGAAATAAAATATTTATATATCATTTAATCCTTTGATACTTGCACAGCATTTTACTAGTAAAAACACATGCTACAAGAAACTAGTATTCGCAAACACTCATAGCTTCTGGGTTTAACAATGTGTTGAGCCCAATTGAACTTCAACCAATAAGAAGAAAAATCCTAAAAAATCCAAGTTCAAGCAGGCCATATCTTGAAGCAAAATACAAACAAGTTCATATTAAACTTAAAGAACCTTATGCACGAGCAGGAACAGTAACACCAGGACGAGGAGCCTGACCAGGCTGGCCAGGTTTTGGCATATCATCCTGACAAAATTGAAATAACAGATAATTAATGAAGCTTCCAAAAGAATACTAAGGAAATTGCAGACGGACATCGAGATACTGAGACTACCAACCATAGATAGTGTACTATGTAATTAGATTTTTCAAAGCAAATGATTATATTCCTTATTAATGGGAGAGCAGAGAAAAAAAACTTCAGCAAACTAAGTACGCTTTATACAAATGGATGTTAATGAACAATTCATCCCAAAAGCAATTAAAATTTCAGCAAAAGGGGCAAAATAGTGCCTAGTCAAAGGCAAAAAACCGCATCAAATGATGCATGCACGTCGATCACAATAAAAAAAAAAATAGTCATGTTTCAGGTTTAGTAAATTCTACACTCTCTTTGGTCTCTATGAATGGCCTCCAGTCCTCCACTTATAAATTCTATTAGCGCTAAGGTATTTCTGAGAAAGTGATATAGTTGGATATTGTGTATGAGGGACCTCTTCACCCCTAAAGCACTTAGAAAATTCTGCAAAAGGGGCAGACATAAGTCTCTAAAGAATTACATCCTCATAACATAGTAGAGAGAATCATTCTAATGTTGGTCGTGGATAAAAATCAGTAAAGTCAAAGCTCTAGTAGTCTTATGGATGACTTCAATATATCATTCTATAATAGATCCACAAAATTTTCCATCCCAGCATGATGGTAAGACACCAGAAGAGGCATCTGTAAAGGGGGCAGACTAGCAGTCAGTGAAGAATTTCCAGAAGACTCTTCAATGAATATATATATATATATAATTCATAGGTTACAAAATCCATGGAGTTAAATACCACATTTCATTCACATAACAAAATGGATCATTGATAGTGAAAAGCATGAGATAATGGATTATAAAAAGGTGTACCCTGCGTCTGATGAAGCGCTGAGGTGGGTCACGGTTCCTCCTGTCAGTGCGGGATCGGACCCTCACAACGTGGGAATGGATCGCGCATGAAACACAGTACTGCATCTTCACATACAGCTTGGGCAAAGTGTAAGCTACATAACATTAATCAAACAATAAATCAAAAAATAACTTAAATAACAAAGTTCGCTTATAATTGAGGAATTAAACGAAAAATTACAGTCATAGACGCAGGCTTCTTGGACATCCCTGACAGCAGCTTGCTCCACAATGTTCCTCACAAGAAACCTCTTGATTGACTTATCCTTTACACATTCGGAACAAGAGAACAACAAATGAGAAACCAACATATATATATATATATATATATATATATATATATATATATAATATATATATATATATATATATATACACACATTAACAAATACCCAGGTATGAAAAACTGAGGCACCTTAGGGCAACATTTGCCGCAGTTAGAGCAGCGGATGAACTTGACATGGCCACGGCCATGTTTATTGCGTCCACCATTCCTACGCTTGAATGTCTACATCAGAAAAAAGATCCGACCAAATTGATAAAATTAGTGAAAAAGGATTAAATTTTATAAATACCCAGAAGAAACATAAAGATGAAATGAAGGTCAGACCATGGTTCGAGGGTTGCAGTCAAGTTCTTTTCGACGCTCTCTGCTCCTGCTAAGCACTAGGGTTTTGAGATATAAAAGGAAGGGCGAGATTATGGGGAAAATGTTTCTTTTATACTACGGCGAGTACTTCTCGTGGAACCCTAATTTTCACTTACACTTTTAAAAGATTAAATTTACCGTGTTTAGTTGAGGGATTGTGAGATTCACATGAAAATGTAATCCACATTCTTTCGTTTGGTTAGGCGAGAATATCATTTTCCGTAATCTTACATTATCTATAGTGATTTTTTTGGGGTATATTATCAGGAATGTCATTACTTCTCTTCCTTAGGTATTGTTAGATTATCGGTGTTTTGTACTAAAACGCCCTTAAAAAATTCCTTTCAAAAATATCCTTATTTTGTCATTGAATAATAAAAATTCTACGAAAGTTAAATTATAAATTTATCCTTAAACTATTTTAGATTTACAAAAAAAGTTTATAATTAAAATTTTATATGAAATTCAAGGGGTAAAATAAAATTTTACCATTTCATTAAATCTTTTTATATTTTCAGTTTTATAAAAAAATTATATAAATTTTATGAATTTAATTTTTTAAAGAAAATATATAAATATTGTCCAACTTGTTAAAAAAATAAATATATAATAAGGACAATTTGGTCAAATATACATTCCAATAATCTTTTATTCCTTTAACCAAACATGGTAATCTTACATTCCTGCTAAACCAACCAAACACAAAATACAACATTCCAGTAATCTTATTCCCTGATAATCTTTTATTCCGACTGGTAATCTTACATTCCGTGAACCAAATACATCCTTAATACTTTTTTTTATCCTGAAATTAAAAATTTTGTCCTTTGTTTCTAATTTGATTGCCTTTAATATTTGTACTTTTTATTTTTTTTTATTTCTATCATGATTAAATACCAGGGCTGTGTAAAAGTATTAGATATGAATGATCCAATCCAATTTTTTTAGATAATTTGGATTGAATATCTGATAAAATAAATAAATAATCAGATTAGATACATATCAAAGAAATTTTAATTTTAAATTATTTGAATATTCAAAAAATTAACAAGCCTTTAGCCATAGCCATGACTGCCTAGTAGCCCTATCTTAAGAGAATGTTGAATAAGGATGACAACTAGTCATATGTTATGTTTTGGGTCAACCCGACCCAAAAAATATATATCATCCACGTGAGCTAACCCAATCCAAGAAATATATACATCCACTTGACTCCGACTCAACGCGAATTTTTAAAATATAAATTCGATCTGACCCAACCTGACTCAATAAAAAAATAAGGATTTAATTTTTAAAAATCAACAAATAACGAGGTATTATAACAATTATCCATAAATTTATTTGAAGAAATTACATTGTTACCTTCTTATCGAAGTTTTTTCACCCTCCAGCAAACCCGACCTCAATCCTTTAGAAAATCCAATCTAATCCGAACTCGAATCCAATTTTTTATGAAAAAAATCTAACCATATAAGGTCATATTGGAATCTTTTAATTTTGGGTTAAATTATCCTTGGTCATCTAAGATATTTTTCGGGATCCTAAGCAAAAATTAAAAAACGTCTTTATAAAATGAAAGTATATTTCATTACTTTGGACAATTAATTCAATAGTACATAAAAAATCATAGAAAAATAATTAAATTTTGTGAAAATAAATTTATGTTGTTATTTTATTAAGAAAAATCTTTAAATACAACTAAAAGAGAATAAATATAAAAAATCGAATACATGTATGATACATAACTTAATTTTGAATAATGAAAAAATTAAAAGAATTTTATATTATTTTATTGTTAAATTGAGATTGAAGAAGACTACAAATTAAATAATATTTGATAAACTGAAGAGTAAGATTTGAAAAAAAAAGAGAAAAACATGATTAAATTTAATTCAAAATTGAATGAATAAATAAGAGGAATAGAAAAAGAATGTCAAAAACTAAACATTTTATGAAATTTTAAAAATTAAGGGCCTTAATTATAAATAAAAAAATGGTTAAATTTAATTTAAAATTAAATTATTTAATAAGAGACATGGACAAAGAGGGTTAGAACCTAAAAAATTTATGAAATTATAAAAATTAGAGGTCCTAATTATAAATATAAAAATTTGATGACCCTAATTATAAATACAAAAAAATTGAGGGTATAAGCGGTTGCTCGGTCCTCGGGGTGCTGCCTTAGAGCCGGCCCTGAAATTATCATCCCTAGCTATTAATCGGATGCAAGCAACCAAACTTCTACTTATCGTTTCACTACTTGCATGGACCCAATATAACAGAACCAAGGACCGACCACGACCACGACCACGATCCCGACCCGACCCGAGACGGACGGCGACGACGCGCGAGAGTCCCCTTGTTCTCTATCACTCAACAAGGAAGTGTGAAAGTCAAGCCTTAAATACCATTCCCAATAGTGTTTCCAATACTATGTGGGATTGATCATTACCAACACTTGTTCCCAATACTCAATCCCACATAGTATTGGAAACACTATTGGGAATGGTATTTAAGGTTTAGCTTTCCCACTTTCTTGTTGAGTGACAGAGAACAAGGGGGACTCTCGTGCGCCGCCGCCGCCGTCCGTCCGTCTCGTCTTGGGTCGGGTCGTGGTCGTGGTGCGATTTTGGACTATCGCAACGCGAACTTCGACTATCGCAACAAATTTGTAATAAATCGCAACACGAACTTGGACTATTGCGATAGTCGAAGTTCGCGTTGCGAATCTGAAAACTGATTTGCGATACCGGAGATCGTGTTGCGAATTATCGATCGCATTGCGATTTAGTTGGTCATTTTGGTAAATCCAAAAAAAGTTAGTTAAAATCGTATATTATAAGGTATTTTTGATCACTGAGATTATTTTCTTTTCAAGATAATAATAATAATAATAATAATAATAATAATAATAATAATAATAATAAAACCGCTCAAGTCCATTTCAAAGACTGCAACAATTTGAAAAGCAAAAAAAGCAATTCAAACTCAATTCCCCTGCTGTTTATTTCTTTAAATCTATTTTACTGATTTTCCCATTCTCAATACAATATAGTATGCCACATTGGTCCCTACATTCACTCACATTTTCAAAAGCTTCCTTTTTATCTTTACTTAATCAAAATTTCCTTTTAAAAAATTATAGGTAAAATAAGTGATATGTTTGAATTGGACATTCGAATATCCGAAAATTTGAATATCTGATTTTTTATCAAATTCAAATCACTATTTTAGTTATCCGATATCTGAATTTAGTCTTCCAGTATAATTTTTTTAAACTTTAGGTGAAAATTAGTGTCATACTTGACATTATACGTTGGATGTATCTATATTCTATATAAATGTATAATAAATCGGGTTAGAGGGGATCAAAGCAATTCATCATTGGTTTTATGAATCCCAAAATTATCAAGCAAAACAAACATATAGCCATTCAACGCAGTCTGAATAAGCTCCGGAACCGCAAGGATGAGGGAAAAAACCCAAAACCCAAAACCAAAATGTAATGTAATTCACCAGAGGTACAACACAACTTTTAATCTTAAGCATGGAGCTTAATATTATTCACTTCCAACACTAACAAAAGCAACCCCTTCATCGGTAAGACTGAATGTACATCATCCGTTATTCGCCGGCCAATAGGTGGTGCCTCTTAATTCTCTACATCAAGCTCAAGCACTTTCTTTCTCATACACTCCATTTGCATAGTTCCAATTGATCACCTTCCATATGTTCTTCAGGTAATCTGGTCTAACATTCTTGTACTGCACCATAAAATATAAATCATTATTAAAAAATGTACACCAAGAAATCAAAGGGAAAAAGATTCACAACACAGATGTCTTTACTACAGAGCAATGAATAAGCTAAATTCTATAATTTTTTTCAACCCCTTCCTCCTGTGCACCCGTGGAAATTATATAGAAAGCAAGCCGATATTCTCTTAACAGGAAACAAGATATATGATGCAGTCATAAGCTTATTTATGCAAATGAATAAAGTGAACACAATATCTTTTTGAAACTCCCTCTCTTCGCCCAATTACTAGGATGTAAAGGGGCAAAATTTTCAGTTTATTGAATGTGACCTACCAAATAAGATAATATATAAACGGTAAAAGTTCTTTAAATCAAATCAGAGAATCATTGATGTAACAATGCTACTTTGGCATTGTCTGGATCTCCAATATGCATTACTGATCTTTGTATATATATTATAAAACATATTTAGTTAAAAAATTTACCTGTAAATAATATGCATCCCAACATCTATCCCAAGCAAAGGAATGTGGCCCTTCAGTCACAAGTGGATCCTGCATTAAAAAATTTCATTATATTAACATATGTCGGATAGCTTTTATAATTACAGCAACTTTTAAGAGAGAATCTAAACTTGATAAGACTCCAATCTTACAGAAACCAAGTACAAGTGATCTCTCTTAAAAAACTCACATCATAGACCTCTACGGTAATGGGAAACCTTTTTACATGGTATATCTTCCAGAGGCCACAACTCATTAAGATATTCTCAGTTATTAAATCTACCACCAGAGCAGAATAAGCAGGGACATAGAAGTAAGTAGATTCACATCCAAGTGAACAAACCAAGAAGCCCCATAATTTTTCATGGATGACTTGACACTTAATATTGCAAGCATACCTGATTTGCAGTGGTTTCAACCACAGCTTCTTCGATTCCTTGTTCAGTCCAAGCCACTATCAAGAAAAAAGTAAGCAATGACAGATGCAAACCATCCATGATTAGATGCCCAAGGAAACAAAAAATAGTGACCCCATAACAAACAAATCACTGACCACCCAACCAGAGCCTTGCAAAGCAGCACCCTCAGCACTGATCTTCTGAATCAACGATTCCAGTGAGCCAAAGTTCGTGTCAATAGCCAACCCAAAGATCCTTTCGGAGGTTCACCTCCTCCTTCCTGTCATATAAATGGAATAAGGTAAGAAACAATCTATTTCGGATACAAGCTGCATTCAACATTACTAAGCTTACACGAGGGGCAAGATTGTTCCAAAAAATTGAGTGGTTGATATGACCTGCATTAGATAACAATCATTCAACGTGAAGGCATTTAAAGTAACAGCAAACGAAGG